CCAATACTTGTCTGGCTTCCCAATACCTGTCGAGGGTTGAGACCAAATTTAGTCAACCCGTGCGTCATGTTGATGATCACAAAAATGGGAGACCACTGGGGCGACAAGGCAAACAGGGCTTCCATGTCAAGAAGAGAAAAAGGGTTTCTCGAATTGAGTTAGATAGCCAAATATGGATACAAGCGCATAGACATGTGTTGCTCAATAGTGAAGAAGTCAATCTATTTATAGAGTAAGTCAATGTCTGTTTTATCATACAAATACATTATTTGATTTTTATTTAACTATACTGTACTGTTGGCAAAAATATATATATATATATATCATATTAAACTATAACTTATGTCATCTGCATATAGATGTCATCTGCAGGCAATTAAGGAGAGGCATCATCGACTAAAACAATATGAGATTGATAGAATTCATAGTCAAACCTTTCATGTTTGGTTCGAAGAAGAGGTCAGTATGATAAAATTCATAATTTTCATTCAAGCTGTCACCTTTTTCATTATTAATCAAGTTTATCATGTAATGAGTAGGTTAAGAAGTTCGAAAAAAGTGGAAGTGCTGAAATCATGGACCAAATTAAATGGCTTGCTCGTGGGCCTAAAGATAGAGCTAGAAGATACACTGGTTACATGGTTAATGGTTTTAGATTTCATACTAGACAACGTGAGAGATCATTGTTAACTCAAAACAGTGGTGTTGTTGTAAAAGTGAAGACAACAAGTCATGATCGTAGGCAAATTGTTGAAAGAGAGATTAACTATTATGGAACATTAACTGATATAATTGAACTGAATCACTCTGGCATGTATAAGGTTGTGCTTTTTAGATGTGATTGGGTTGATATTAATAGAGGCTGCAAGGAGGATAACCTAGGCTTCACCCTTGTAAATTTCTCACATCTTACCCAAAAAGGCAACAATTTACTTGATGACCCATTCATTTTAGCATCCTAGGCAGAAAAAGTATACCATGTTGAGGATGAAAGGGACAAGGGTTGGCTTGTTGTCAAGCATGCCAAGTTGAGAGACGTTTTTGATATGGGGGTACAACGTGGTGTTTCATCAATTACTGAGGATAGCACTTAAGATGCTATAACTTGGGTTAGATCTAATGTAGATGAGGATGGAGTTGAAGTCACGTCAAAAATGGAAAAAGAGCTAGTGGAAGATGATGAATCTGATTGGGATAATTGGTACGATAACAGGTGTTGGTTTCCTTAGTTATTGAGTGTTTTCTCCACTTGATAGTTATGGTATTTATTTTTCTTTGTTTGACATCATTCCTAGAACAGAACATAGTTTAAGCTGCTCTATCTTCCTCTGTTTTCTAGACTTGATAGTTATGGTATTGATTTTTCTTTGTTTGACATCATTCCTAGAACAAAATCATAGTTTGAGCAAGTCCATGTTCTTCTGCACTTTTAAAAACTTGAAATTTCACTTTTTGTTTTACTGGGTTTCCTATTCTATTCCTTGTTTCATCTTCTCAAATTCCTTAGACGATCATGAGCCTCTAGTGGCAACGAGCTCCAATGGCCATGAGCTACAGTCAAGGGAAAGAAGAAGATGACTTGGCAAAAGGGATTGAAAAGAACAAGGGTAATTTATCAATTGTCTTAATGGAAGAAGTGAAAAATCCTCTTTTTGCATTTCATAAAGGTTGACTTGCAACTATTTCTTACAGGTTGGACTGCGTTTTCCTTTCTCCACTGAAGGAGTGAACATAATTTTTTCCTTTCTTATATACATATGAAGTGAACATTATAAACTATATGCAGCATAAAGACCTGGACGGTATATAGATTTTGGGTTAAAAAAATAAAAAAACCTCTTCTTTGTAATAAAGAATAACTCATAATAAAATCCATACAGGATAAAGGTCTATGAAAAAGTGTAGTGCAGATTGAATTATATAGGATTGTACTATACTAACTATTTGATGGGGGTGAGGTCCTTGATATTAGGGGTTCTCTCCCCATCCAATAGTCTTTATTTTATAATTTAGTATGATGCTTACTATATAAAAGATGGCTCTAAATCTCAATTTTGTACACAGTCAAATGCAGAGGCTGTGCAACACCAATTCTGGTGTTAACATCAAGCACGATATAAAAGATGCGTACTTTGTGCAGTGGCGCTGCTCTTATGCTCCCTTCAAACTCAAAATCTTCTGTTTTTCAATATGA